ATATAATTATAATTAAGCTTTAATAAAAAGGAAATAAAAAGAAATGAAAAGATAAAAAAAAAACCGTTAATTAAAACTTAACGCTCGCAAGAATGCTGCTTAAAAAGAATTAAGCGTAAGCAAAACCTTTTTTAAAAATAAACTAATTTAATAAAATATATTTAAATTATAAAATAATATTCTATAATATTCAAGTATATAAGACGTTAATATATAAGTTTAAATCAATAATTTAATAGCAAATTCGCTAGAATTTAAACATGTCTTTTTAAGCTATTGATTCGTTTTCATTTTAAATTACTTTAACTACTTACGAAGATACCGATTTATTTTAAAATTAAGAGTTCGAAAGCTTTATAATTAGTTTCTTTAGCTTAATATTATCAGCAACTATTAAATGTTTTAATTAATATTATATTTAAAACGTTAAAGAGATTAAGACTTTTAATACTTAATAATTATAGACTTTATAGTATTCTTAATAACAAGAGGCTAATTAAAATCCTTTGCGAATCGATTAGAATAAAAAAAAACTTTTTTTGTATAAATTAGATTTGTTTAAGCAGCTAAGAAATTAATAAAAGAGCTTGTAGTATGCTATAAAAAGTGCGACCGAGCTTTAAAGTATTTAAAGCTAAAAGCTTTTAAAACGAAAGCATTAACCGATTATTAAAAAACGAACGTTTGCAAACGCGTCGTAAGTAAGCCAAAACAAAAGCTTCGGCAAACTTAATTAAGATTTAAATCTCTTTAACGCAATTTAATACGTTTGTTTTTATTTATAAATTCGATTAATAAATCTAATAAATCTGATTAGTAAATCTAATTAGTAAATCTGATTAATAAATCTAATTAATAAATCTGATTAATAAATTTGATTAGTAAATTTAATTAATAAATCTAATTAGTAAATCTAATTAATAAATCGGAATAAAAACTTGATTAATAAATAATAAAACTAATATTAAATAGATATATTTATTACGAAGAACGCTTTCGCATTAAGACTTAAAATCAGCATTTCGAAAAAGTGTTTTAAATATTATATTATTTACGCGAAGCTCGTTTCGAATAATTAATAACCCGGATTAAAAATCTCTTTGCGAATTACAAAACCTATATCTTAAGCTTTTTAATACTTTAATTATTAAGCGAGACTTCGACGATAAGATTTTAGAAATTGATCGCTATTTATTAAACAATTTATTAGCTAATTAAAAACTTAGCATTTCACTAAACTATTAGTTTAATATTAAGCGCTATTTTTTTATATGTATAATTAGAATTGCAATTATAAAAGATTAATATATGATTTAGCTTATGCTTAGATTTATATACGTTGAGTTTAATTATATAAAAAAAGAATTAATAAGAATTATTTACGAACGCTTTATTAAATTAAGCTTAATAGAAAAGATAATCGCGATTATAACGGATAACGCATTTTCGAATAATATAATAATAAAAAAGTTGCTTAAATGCGTCGAAGATGCGTTTAAGAAAAAGCTTTTTATAAGTTAAAAGATTTTATACGTTTTATATATAGCTTACGTCTTGCAATTATCTTTTAAAGCGTTACTCGGACCGCGATTATCGCTAACGAACGAAAGCTTAAAAAAGCATTAAGAAAAAGATTTTAATATAAACGAGCTAAAAGGAGTAAGAAAACGCGATAAACAAAGGATTGTATATATACTTGCGATTATAAGTTTTTTTTTTAAAAAAAAATATTTATTAATTATATTTATTAATTATTAATTAACGTACTTAAGTTCGGAAGTTTATTAAGTGTATTACAATTAGCTAACTTCGAAAATCGCGATTTAATAAAACGATAAAAGCTTTTATCGACGATTTAAAGCATCTTTTAACGAAAAGCTTAAAGCTTGTTTTAAATATTATTATAAAATAAGATTTTATATTTTATATATTTAATCGATTTATAACTCTTAAAGATATTATTTAAAGATATTATATAAAGATCGATAAGATAAGTATTTTCAAATTATTTAATACTTAATAAAAGCAAATCTTATAGCTAATCGATATCTTTCGACCGTTTTACTTTTTAATTATATACTTAAATGAAAAGCTTAATTTTATTATTTAATACGGATTTTTAATATTCGATAAAATATTCGAACGTTTAAATAAAGCATAAGCACGATTAAAATTTAAATATATAAAGATTTCGAAAGAAGATCGTAATAATTTTAAATAGATCTTATAATTAAAAGAAGGCGTTATTAATGCTATCGAGAAATTATTAAATATTATAAGAAAACGCAAAAGCCGTTAAAAGATATTTTTGCTTTCGCGATAATCTTATATCTTGCTATTAAGCTAAAGACTTTCGACTTAAATTTTTTTTTAGCTTTACGAAAGTAAAAATTAATTTATAATATATCGAGCGAGATTCGAAAAGCTTTTTAACGAACATTATAAGTTTTTAATATTTATAGCTTAACGTATTAATAATATTAAAGCAATCGATCGTTAATCGATAGCCGCTTTATTACTCCGCGGTAAATTAATATTAAGTTTTTTTTTATAAGCTTTTTTCGAAGATACAAATTACAAATCGTCGGAAATGTATAATTATCTTTCAATTCGTAAGTTTGAAATTTTAATTTAAAACCTTAATTTTATTAATTTTTATTAATTAAGTTTAGCGGTCGACGAACGAGAGATTTTGATTTCTTAACGAAACCTTAAGCTTCGATACTTTAATCTAGCTCGAATAGCTAAAGATTTTTTATATATCTTTTTAATTAGTGTTTGCGTAAAAAAAGTATTTAATATTGCAAAAGATATTTGCGATTATCGTCGCGGTAATTTATCGTTATTAACAATCGCAAAAAAAATAATTGCTTTATATTTTAAGATATGTAATACTCGCTTAAATAAAGCTCGGCACTTATTCGAATCGATTTTAATAAATTATAATGATTTAAATAAAGATGAACTTAAAAAGGAATTCGAATAAAAAGTATAAAAATTTTAAAAATAATAAAATCGTTAATTTTAAAGCTTATTTTGTTTTAAATATATTTTTGCTTGCGATAATCTTGCGATCGATCAAGACTTTCGAATAATGAGTTTTAAGCAACGAAAAGCTAAGTTGATAATATTGAAAGCTGAAGTGCGAGAATTACGTAAGTTTAAATAATATTGATTTTATAAATATTTATTAATTATATTAAATAAAAAAGAATTTAAATAGGTTTTAAGATATTGATAAAGATGTTTCGTTTAAAATGCGATAGCTACGGTACGGAAAGTCTTTAAATTACGAAAGGCATTTAAAAAGTAAGTTAATTTACTTGCGATATTTTTACTTTTTATCGATTTATTAATCGATTTATTAATCGATTTACTAATCGATTTATTAACTATCATATAGGATTATATAAAGCGCATTTTTCCGCTTCTTAAAGCAAAGTCGTAGCAATTCGATTATATTCTTTATAAAGAAAACCAAGCAAAGTAAATCAATCGAAAATAGCTACGGATTTACTTTTCGATAAGCAAATTCAAGATGATATAAATTAAAACGTTTTTAATAATATAAAAAACGAAAACGATTTAGAAAATGTGACGAACTGATGAATTCTGACCTTAGAATACAAAGTGAGGAGAGGAAAACAAGAAGCTCAAGAGAGCTTAAGAAGGTCTATATATATGGTCACAAGCGCTAGGCCTGGATAAGTGATCAGCTGATGCAAGTAACGAAGCAGGCTGTCATACTACCCTTTTAGAGAGCGGTCTTAGCTTTCTTAAAAAGTACTTGACAAAAGAAGGAAAAAAATTCAGTCGTGAACTATGGTTCACGAGTGGAATTGCTGAAAAAAAACCAAAAAAATACGCCGAGGCTATAGATCGCGATAATCGTCAGGGTCAGCGTCGTAGCCTCCAGAAGCGTTCCATTCCGCCAAAATTTCCTCCTTTTCGTCCGAGTCAAACTCGCTTCTTTGTCAAGGGCTTAGCTGGAAGGAGGGTACAGCCAGCTATCCAGTGGTCGATTGCACCGCAACGGGTATAGCGGTTTGATTTGCGCTAAGCTTCGCGCTGATCGAGAGTGCTGTGAAGAGCATACTAGAGAGTAGAGTATCGGTCTTTTAATAGTTAAGTTTAATTAGCCTCGTAAGCGTCGATAAGCTTTATAGCGCCGAGCTCGTTAGCGTGTTGCAATTGCTCGAGTTGTTAAGCGCGGTCGACTGCTGAAAGGTTTATTAGGTCGTCGAGAAGAGGGCCCGTTAACGTGCGAAGGCGGTTTTAAAGGGCCGATAGAGCCGGAGGTCGAAAGAATCCGTAAAACGGGCCGGAAGGATCGGAAGAGCCGGAAGAGCGTCTAAGCTGCTGAATAACGTGCACGTATTCGGTATACGTAATTAAAAGAGTCAATTGGCTATTCAAACGGGTCCGTATAATTGAGTTTAGATAATTGCGGAACGCAATAATCTTATTAGCGTCGGGCCAAGTCTAATAGCGAGCAGCGTGCAAAAGTCGTTCGAAGCGTAAGACGTAGATATAAAGAGCGTCCGTACCTTGCTTGCAAGCAAGCAGCTTATCTTTAGCCTTTTGAATTTTGTTTGGATTGTCGTAAGCGAAAGCGAGCTAATCTAAAAGAGTATTGTAGTCTTAATTGCCGGAGTCTTAAGCTAAAGCTAATTGAGTTAAAACTATTGCTTAAGGACCGGGTTTTATATTGAAGTAAACGTAATAGAACTGCGCAGTGGGTCCGCTAAGAGCTTCACTGTCGATAAAAAGCTTAGCCTTAATTAAAAAGAGCCAAGTATCTTACCGCTGAACCGTACCGTTGAACTTATCGGGATTTAAAAGGACGCATTTGCGCTAGCGAAAGGCTATTCGTAATTGCTTTACGAGAGACTCCAATTGAGCGATTCTCGTAAAAAGAAAAGGGCCGTCGTCTTCGTAAGAAGACATAATAATAGAAATAAAAAGGGGGCGTTTAAGTGTCGGAAACGCTAAGAAAAAGAGTAGAGAAGAGAGTTCGTCTTGCAACCGAAGTGCAAAAATTGAAAAGAGCTTTTTTAAGTCGAAAGAGCTAAAGAAGAAGTAAGGTCGTAAAAAAGATAATAATCTATAAGCAATAAAAGAAGACCGTAGAGCACTTAACAAGTAACTCGCTTCGTTCTTGATAATAATTAATAAGCCGTAATCTATAAGCTATAATAATAATTAATAATAATAAGCTATAATACGACGACTTAATCGAAGGACTTTGTATAATGTGACGAACTAATGAATTTTGACTTTAGAATACAAAGTGAAGAAAAGAAAACAAAAAGCTTAAGAGAGCTCAAAAAGGTCTATATACATAGTCACAAGCGCTAGGCCTGGATGGGTGATTAGCTGATGCAAGTAACGAGGCAGGCTGTCACAGAAAATTCAGATTCGAACGGTACGAACGAATCGATTAGCTTTGAACGCTATATAAATTATAAAAATAAAATACAACGAAATACGATATTATATAATATACGCTTTTATTTAAATATAAATTCTAATTTAAATATTAACGATAGCAAATTTATGCGATTAAAACGATTCGAATGATATTTCTCGATAAAATTATTTTAACGCGAAAAAAATATTGAGCTTTAAGCAAAGTAATAAAAGAATAATAAATAAAAAGGAAGCTAATAAAATACTAGACTCGGCTTCGCTATCTTATAGAACTTTAAATGCTGCTTAAACCTTAAAACTTAGTATTTCGAAACTTAAAACTCTTTTAATCGTTATTTAAAATTAAAGTAAATTAATTATTATATATAAGTTTAACGACCTTAAATCTAATACTTTTATAAGCGAACGAATTACAAATCTATTATTAACTTTAAAGCGCAAACGAATAAAAGAAAAAGAAGATGATAAAGCGAGATTAATATAAAATAAAAAAAAAGAAGCTTCTTTTAGAATCAAGCGTTTAATTGCAAAGAGTATCGCTTTTACTAAGTTTTATAATTAGCGACTTTAATTTTATTTATTAAATTGCTTTTTTTATATCATTAAGTTTTTGTATTTACTTATTTACAATTGATTGCAATGATTAATTGAATTCTTTTTTATCGATATCTTTAGTTTTTTTTATTATTATTAATATATTTATATCGACTTTAGCTAGCTAGCTAAGAATACCGGTAATAGTAATTAAAAGAAGAGTTCACCCGTGAACCATAATTCACGGATCAATTAGCATGCTTCGCTTAAAATGTTATATTAATTAAAAGACTTTTAATTTAATTATAAAACCTTTTAATTAGCTAATACACGTAATTCCTTTAATCATAAGTATTACTTTTACTAAACTTTAAAAGAGCTGATTCTTTTTATAATTATTAAGTTTTTTAATAAAGTTAAGTTTTTCGTAAAGCTATAAAGCTCGTAAACTATAGTTTACGAGTAAGTTACGTATAGCAGCTTTACGTACGCTACGTATAGCAGCTTTACGTAGGTTACGTATAGCAGCCTTAAGTACGTTAGATATAGCAGCTTTACGTAGATTACGTATAGCAGCCTTACGTAGTTTACGTATAGCAATACGTTAGGTATAGCAGCCTTACGTAAGTTACGTATAGCAGCTTTACGTAAGTTACGTATAGCAGCCTTTAAGTACGTTAAG